ACTCTTTCTTAATTGCTTTATTGTTTCTCGTATTTCTTTCTGCATCACAATCCATTCTGGCTGATATCCATTGTCTATCAGAATTCTGTTCAGGTTGTGAGTCATAGGATCAATATGCGGACAATCTGAAAATTTCTGCAATGGCTTTCCTTTACCACTAAGGTTGTCAAAGTCTCCTTTAGCCATCGATTCCTGGATGAGGTCCTCAACCAACCGTTCAATTGCTTGTGTTATTTTCACCTTTTTGCTCTGTCTCACATCTTTGGCTTTCATTAGGTCAGTCACAGCACACTGGCCTTCAAGTTTCTGCTTCCGGTATTCCAACACTTGCTCAGCAGCACGGTCTACTCGAAATTGCATGTATTGCCTTTCTCTTTGGCTTGGCATCCCAAAACCAACACCTTCAAAACTCAAGTAGTGCCTATGCTGTAGTGCTTTTGATTTGAACTGGTCTTCCTCTTCATCCTCATTTGATTTCTTTTTGCTTGCCACATCACTGAGCACAACTCTGTACGCTTCTTCCACTTTCATAAATGCTTCAGAATCAGCTGTGACGGAACCGCTGTCTGGATGATATTTTTTGGCAAGATTTCGGTATGAATTTCTGATATCGTCAAGGGAACATCCTTCCTGAAGCTCAAGAATTTTGTAAGAGTCCTTCACGTCACTTTTAGGTTTGTAACCTGATAACAGTCTATTGCCTTGAATACGGCGAAATAGTTTCAGGTGTCTTGGAATCATTGCTTGATGCAACACTAAATGATGCCCCATCTTCTTAGTCAACATGGCACAAAGCTACTTTACATTTCTTCAAATACAGCTACATACTTAATAATGACCTATAAACACATTACCAAAAATGTGTTAAATACGCTTTTTAAAAGAACTCATATGATTCATTAGTCTTACCTTGTTGCATTCTTTCAGTTAAACAAAATCCCTACAAAACATTCAGAACAACATAAAAATGCTCTTTTCTTTTAGAGACTAATGCCGAGTCCTGCATTTCTTATTACTTACATGCTCTATAGTATCAAAGTAGTAATATTACAAGGTAAATGAAAATTAATTCACAACATAGCTTTCTCCAGGCATAGAAACAGCAGCATATGTTCGTTCTGCACTGAGAACTTTTCAGAAGGACAAAGCTTTATTCCCTTTCTTCAAGCCCAGTATAAATAGGAAGCATACTTTACGTTGAGCGGTAACTCTGCAGGAATAAGTCTCTCCCCTTTCCTCCACACAACTACATTCAGCCATCAACCGAATTTTCTAACCACAAATATGAGTGACTTAAGATCTGCAACACTGTGCATTCTTAAAGGATTTCATTAAAGCAGCCCTTCGGTATTTTGTAGTAGTGACTAAAGTAGCATTCAGATGATCAGGTTTTTTTTACATAAATTACTCTTTCCCAGCTCATATATCCTAGCAGCCAATCTCCTTTATTTGTGTTAGGTAAGGTAATAAATCTGGAACTCAGAAGAGATCAACAGCAGACAGTATCTCATTCTGTCAGGAATATGAATGCTTCTGAATGATTTTGGGAAACAGCAAAAAGAACATCTTTAGCAAAAAGCCATGTAAGAAATAAGCCTTCACATAAAAATCAGCTAGAAAGATACAGAGAATTTCTCTTTATTAATGAAAATTGTAAAAAATGCCATATAAACTGTGCTGAAAAAAAGTCTCCTTTTTCAGGTTTTGTCGACTTCCTTTCCAAACAGGAAATCAGACTAAATCAAGGTTAACTCAGGTCAAAGGAATTAATAGCTTCTATGTTCTGCATACAGCAAATTGCCTTTCTGCACTAACCCTTCTGAAAAGGGAAGGGAAAGTGAGGCACTTGGGATTGGATAAAAGACTGGATCTATCCTGAATGCTTTTAATAGGTTTTGATCCAGGTAAGGGATCAAACCATCAGCTTGCACTTATTCTGAAAGATGTTATTTCCATAATATGCTGCGTTAATTTGTAATATAGTGATTTATCTCCTTTTAGATCATAGACAAAGATAACAAGTATAGTTCCATACAGCCATAAAACTCATATATACTACTTAAATGAAAAAAAAAAAAATCAATGCATACCCTCCCGAAATTCGGTACATTTATAAGAGACAGACTTTCTCATACCTCTGTAGATTTAATACATTTATGCTTAAAAAATTTCAAAATTTAAATGACTCTTGGTTTCAAGGGCTGCTATCAAGTAAAGCTACTCAGATACAAATAAGCCTTTAAAATCTGAGCAGAATTTGTTTATGTTTCAGAATGTATCTATTAAAAAGAAAAGCAAGTATAATCCATAACTTTTAACTTAGGATGTATATGTAAAAATAAGACTGCAAAACAGCATGCATGCTGCTCAATGTACACTATTCAGGCAAAACAGCATCTTTTGTGCCGTTATACTCCCTCTACGAGGGCTACACTAAAACCGCACAGCCCAACTGGCGCTGACTTTGGCATCAACCCCGTAGCGTACATCAGAGGGGAGGCGACGTTTCCCGGAAGGAGGGTTTTGCAAGAACACTATTCCGTCCTCTTCACGGGGAAGGTCGCCAGCTTACACAACGGACCTCAGAGGGCTCAGCTCGTCGCCCGCTTCACACCACCGAAGGCAGGGGGCATGTGTAGCCGGCGCCAATTTCTGCAGGGCTGCGGGAGGCGAGGCCGAGGCGCCGCCAAGGGCACAGCACGGAGCTACCCTCACACACGGACAGAGGGCGACAGCGCTG